CAAGCCATTAGACGATTAAGTGTTGCTGCAGAGACCACTCAAATAGCACTAATACTTTATAAATCTTACGTACAAACAACTAAACCACAAGTTAACAGATAACCATAATTCATAGAAGTATCGTCAAAGAGGAAAAGATTTTTTTCTTAAAAAGTAAAACAATTCTTTGCACCGTATTATTACTTACTTAATCAAAGAATGTTGTGTGTAGACTGATTGGAACGACGGGAGGGTGGCCAACGAGCTGGTGCGCACCATGGGCGGTCCAGCACCGCCGCCCAGCAGACTGCGACGAGATCCTGCCAAGTGGGAGGAAAATAACCAGCAAGCTATTGATGCAGCTAAGAAAATTGGTTAGTTAATAAACTTAATAAGGTTAATTTCACTTAAGAAAGTCTAATCAGTAAGAACGACTGATTAAAATGAACGGGAAAGCAGGAAGTACTGTGCATTTTTCCATTAAACATTTCAAGAACTAGCTTCATAGGTTGTAACTAAAGAAAAGATTTCGTTTTAGTTGTTAGAGAATATTAAAAAGATGTTTAAATAAGAAGTGAAACACCCATATTTTCTAGGAGTCCAGCCGGTCCTTTCCGCGCGCGACATGAGTCAAAACGACGTGGAGCACCTGGGCGTGATGGCGTGGGCGTCGCAGTTCCGGAACGTGCCGCCGCGGCCGCCGGTGCACGATATGCTACGTGTTGCACTTGACTCCACATCTGGTAGAGTCGGAGAGCCTGTGAGTAGAACAAATCAAAGTATAAGTAACACAGATCTTTTAATTTAATTTAAGAGGGATTGCATGTCTTTAACACACTTGAAATATTCTGCAATTATTAAGAAGAATACTCCAAGATGGTTTTGGCATCAAAATTGTGGCATGATGTTCCCTGCTGCTATGTTTTATTTTAATCAACTTGTATCATTTCTATTTTTTTTCTGGTATTTATGTTTTCAGACGTACATCAAAGTTGAAAGCATATCAAATGAGCTGTCGATCTCCGACGTGAGAGTATCAATAGTGAATCCATTGGAAAAAGAATCAAGACTGAAGTTGGACTCGCGGGGCGCGGGCGAGTTCGTGCCCGAACACGCAGGCATGCATGAAATTGTTCTCACAGTTGACGACATCAGGTATAAACAGAAACCTTAAAACATACATTCAGTAACAAGTTAATTATAACCTAGAGTGGAGTGCGCCCAAACTTTTGCCAAATAAATGCAAGTTTGCTTTTGTTTGCAATTTCGTTACTGCAGTCTACAGAAAATCTTAAAATTTAAACATTTAAAGGAAATATTCAAATGTCATATTATTTTGGTTATTAAGAGCGACGAAGGAAAAAAAATCCTATATCAGTTCGTCATCAAAAATATTGAAGTGCTCTTTACGCAGTTGATGGTGCGTAAAAAGTTACGAGGGTTGCTAGTGAAATAACGTAAATTGATTTTAGATCTGCATTCCTCTTGATATTCACTTTGATATTTTCTATGATTCTAATGATATATTAATAATTAAATAAAACTGTTAAGGTAATTTCAAAAACATTAATTTCTAGTAAAATATTTTTTTTATGGATTTTATGGTGTACAAATCGTAGTAAACTCAAATAAACACGGTAGATTGAACTCCAATTCGAAACATTATTTTAACGATTTTGTTAGGACTATGCAAATGGCTAAAAAAAAGCACAGTATAAATTTCATGTCGATAGCATTCACTGCAATAATATTCGAATTGATGACCAAGCCTTCCATTAAAACTAATAGTGTTTTATGAATTTAAAAAGTAATTAAAATAACCTGAGCCAATATTAAGATAATATCATATACTTAACTAAGTCTTCTATTAGAGTGAGTTGCCATGCTATAATGAAGATAAGAAATTAAAAATACGTATGTAACTTTACAAAACAAGATTCTACATAAATTCCTTGTTTGAAGACGTGTCTTTACTATTTTTAGAGTGGACGGAAAATATTTCTTCCGAGTGCTACCAAGATTGGTAACAGTCCCGCCGCCGGGCATGGCGCCGTGCGCTGCGGGCAGCATTGTCGAAGTGCTGGTTAGCGCTACAGGTAAGTTCACATAACAAACTTAAATTGAACACTTTAAGTGGATGAGTTGGCAATAAAAAATATGTATTGAACACCAAGTGCACTTATATTCTATTTTCTAAGCTGATGATAATGTAACTATGATCTTACGTTATGTAGGTGCACCAAGAAGAGAAG